CTCCCTCCCATTAGTTCTGTTTCTCTGAAAAACAGTATCTAATATAACTGTGGCCTTCTGTGGGTTAAAGACATTACATTTACTTGCCCAATTACCTTTAATAAGAAAAATACTTTTCATTCTACAACTAGAGTCTTAAAATGAAATCATGACTCATAGAATCAACGCCATGAGTAAGTTTCACTTGAAAGATAAAGAACAGCATCATCCTTGAGTTTTTCTTTTGTTTCAGAACAAGGTTAAGAAACTAGAAAGATCTGGGCCTGGAAGAGGGTATGAGAAAAGGGAGCAAAGAAAATGCACTGCTGGCAAAATCAAAGATGAATTCCCTGATGTCAGAACTCTCTTAGAGGCAGATCTACTGAGTTTACAAGACAAGCCAACAAAAAGAGACCAAACTATATTAGATCCCGAGAGAGGTGCTGACAACTTTTTGTCTAAGCCTTGAATTCTTAAAGAAATAAAAACCATAGCCAGGTGTGGCAGCAAATGCCTTTAATCTCAGAGGCAGCAGATCTCTGTGAGTTCAAGGCCAGCCTGTTTACACTGTGAGTTCCAGGCCAGCTGGTGCTACAGGGAGACCCTGACTCAAAAAAAAAAAAAAAAAGACCAGAAAATAAATAAATAAAAACTTGTTTGTTGAGTGCTTCCCTGCAAAGTCGTGATCAGTCTATGAACATGGCACCGTATTACAAAAATAAAAATCTCAAACTTAGAGAACTATAACCTCAATTAAATCAACAAGGAATGTGAAAAGCTGACTGTGGCAAGGGTGCACCAAACACACCACAGCAGTCCACGCAGCCCATTCCATGTGGCTGCAGTCGCTCAGACAGGCCCTGCATCTCTACTGAGCACTTGCACACATCTCCTCACTTCAACTCTAAAACACCTTTACTATCAATATTTGTGTATTTGATACATTTAGATAATGAGGTTTAGATTACTGGATAAACCTGTTCAAAGTCCGTTCAGCTCACCACTTTGGGTCTGGATTTATTATCTTAAATAGTCTATGTAATCTGTCACTTGTTTTATTTGTCATTGAATCTCTAGAGACCCAATTTTGGGCATTTGTCTCAAAGATATTTCTTGTTTCTCTGGTTTTCTTTGAGACAGGGTCTCACATGGCCCAGCCTGACCTCAAGCTTGCTACGTAACCAAAGCTGGCCTTGAAGTCCTGACTTCTGCCTCCACTACCCAAGTGCTGGGACTACAGGTCTGCACTACCATACCTGGCTCAAAGCCCAACTAAAATTTCAGAGAATATATAATTTAAAAACTTTAAGATGATTAAACAACAAAAAGCTTAAGGTAATGGAGAAGTAATAAAATTTTCCTAGTTGATACTGAAACCATTTCTATGTGGAGATGCTAAGCATTTGAAAAATTGTCACTTCCATGAGATCAATCTGTCTTTAAAATTTATAATATCCATGTAAAGACTTCTGCTTAGGGGCAAAGGCACACTGCAGTCACTTAAAGCAGCTCCTTGGTTTTGCTCCTTGGCAACCAGACCTGGAACTAGGGTAGGATAGTATAAACTTACTTTGACTTGAGGGTAGGACTTCTTGTTCTTTTCACTAGAAGCACCAGGAAGTCCGCCATGGGATGGGCCTTCACATACATAACGGAAACGAAATCCTCTCTGCAAAGGCGAACACAGACACTAAGTTTGGGAAATAGTTAAAAATAATAGTGACAAAGTTACATGCAAGTTTCTAATTTTTATGTGTACCAGATAAGGGAAGAAAAAATGTATGAAACTGTACAAGAAGCCCCTGGGAACAAGTAATGCTTTTCAAAAGTTCTATGAAAGTGATATTGACTGTCATCTGTGCACCAAGCTTTGGGATCAGCCGGCACCCCACCTGAGCTCTCCTGCTCAGAGGCCCAGCCTCAAGTGCTGGATATGCCACAGCTTGTCTGAGATGGAGCTTCCCATCTCAAATTGCTGCCACCAAGCTCTCCGCTGTGCATATTAGTCAAAGTTATGCTTCTCTGACTATTATTTAAAGGAATTCCTTTACCCGCTCTGATTGCAGTTGGACTGGGGCAGTCACAGACATGTCTTTTAAAATAAACTGTCAGTGTTGTAAACATACCCCGTTTGCTACATTTTGCATCTAACAGTACTTCAAAGAATAAAGCCACTAATTTGATGAACATTATGAGATCTAGTTTGGATACTAACTGACCTTAATGAATTCAAAACTATACAGTCCCTTGTATTATTTGAACCAGCAATTCTCCAGACATAGTTGATGAAGAAGGGTTAGCTGGAAGCCTTCACTATGTGAACCACTGTGGGCTTATAAATACCTAAGTCCTGTGTTCTGTTGTTCATCTATGCAAATGAGAAGATGTATTCCAGACTATCTTTAAATTGTACTCCAGTTCTAACATTATGATTTATAAAGCCAACAGCTGCAATTATGTACATTTGTATACAAAGACTATAGCAAAGGCAGTTTTTCAAATGGACCCCAGCATCACTTAAAGGAAGCTTTTACTACATTTTCTGAAACACTCAATTTACAATCCTATTAATCAATTTATGGTAATGCTGCTTGTAGGTTATATACATATAACCTTCTAACATACTTTTAGAAACAGCTTCACCTTCCATTTATTTTTTTTAATAAAAATTTTAAAGTTATTTTTATTTTACATGTATGAGTGTATTGCCTACATGTTTGTGAGTGCACCCATGCTGTGCAATGCCCACAGAGGTCAGAAGAGAGTGTCAGATTCCATGGAACTAGAGTTACTGATGGTTGTTAGCCACCTTGTGGGTGTTGGGAATCAAACCCAGGTCCTCTGCAAGAACAACTGAGCCATCTCTCCACCAGTGGGCAGACTTTGTGTAAGTAGTTCCAGATCATCTATCTGAGCATCAGGAGTTCCACATAACCCTACTTAATGATGATGGGTTTCTACCTCATGCAAATGGCTATGGAAACACAGAAGCACAAAGGTTTTAATAGCTATGACCTCATGGTCCAATGCAAAACTTCTGCCCTCCTTAGGCTGCACTGCATTCTATTATGCCTAATAGGGTCTTTGAATCTCTGAGTAGCCCCAAAGCCTTGATCTCATTCAAATCTCTAGGAAACATCTGCAACTCTCCCTATTTCTTCTAAGATCTTTCTGATTTCCAAAGAAATTTGGTCCTACAATATGTTTCACTGCATGATGAGAAAGGGCTAAGGTAAATTGTCTAGTGAGAGAAAGTTCCCCAAGGGCACATGGGTCTGTAGTGTATGCTCAACTATCAGAATAAGACCCTAAATAACCTTGCGCATAGCTCCCCAGGAGACCCTAAACCTGAACAACAAGGCAGCCTTCTCAGGGGAGGTTTTAGGGTCAATTCTTGTTTTCCTTCTCACAAAATTCAAATTAAAAGTAAGTTGCAGGGCTAGCAAGATAGTTCAGCAGGTAAAGGCACTTGCTGCATAAGCCTGGTGTCTTGAGCTTGATTCCTGGAGCCCATGTTAAAAAGCTAGATGTGATGGTGAGCACCTGTAGTTCCAACACTCCTATGGTGAGATGGGAGGCAGAGACAGGAAACTTCCCAGAAGTACCCAAGGCAGCTATCTTGGCATGTACAGCACAAACAAGGGAAATCCTGCTTCAGCAAGGTGAAGGAGAGCTGACTTTCAAAAGTTTTCTACCTCCCACATATGTCAGGAGCACGTGTACATATGCGTGCATACACGCATGCGCGCGCGCACACACACACACACACACACAAAGTTTTTTTTAATGTTTTAAAATTTTTAAATAATTAAAAATATTTTTTAAAGTTACCAGTTCAGCCCTGTTTTAAGTAATGGCTGCTGATTTATTCTTTCTGTGTGTGTGTGTGTGTGTGTGTGTGTGCACGCGCACATGAGACAGGCTCTCTCACTGGACCTGGATCTCACTGATTGGTGAGACTGGCCATCAAGCCTGAGGGACCCTCCTGTCTCTGACTCTCCATGTTGAGACTACAGGTGTGCCTGGCTTTTATGTGGATGCTGGGGATGGAACTCAGGTTTTCATGTTTATGAGGCAAGTACTTTACCAAAAGAACCATCTCCCCAACACTGTTGGTTTATTTGTTAATAATTAAATGAAGTTTCTAAATGAAAAACATAACAGATTGTGCAGTAGCTGGCTCTCCAAATTAATCATAAAGACAGAGATTTATTTAACTGGGAAGCAACTCAAACGCAACTTTATTTTAAAAACACTATTAGGTAGAGAGGGCTGAATAATATGCAATAGAACTGGATAGTCTAAAAATTAATAATCTACACTTTGATTCATTTCTATAAGACCTAGGGGAAAATCTGAGTCAAAGGCCCCCCAAAAAAGAACATTTCTAACATTATAAATTAACACAGAAGTTCATTATCTTTTATCACAACATTCCTTTTTGGCAGTTGGAAAAATATATACATGTATACCCTTATATGTTATGGAGAGTAATGTCAAACAGACTGTAGTAGACATGACTTAAATGTGAATTTATGTCTATAATACAGTATATATTGTTCTTGGTGGCTTAAGGGTATCTAAAGTTCTGTCCAAAGTATTCTTTCATCTAAGGATGGAAATTTATAATCCTTTTTTCAGGCTGATAAGATATTTTCAATCTGGGTGTGGTGTCTACGCAGCACTTGGGAGGTAGAGCCAGCAAGGACAGCTATGAGTTTGAAGCCAGCAAGGACTTAAGACTTTGTCTCAAAACTAAATTAAGTAATTTAAAAATGAAATTAAAAATTAAAAAATAAGATGTTTTCAGATACATAGTCTGATTCTGACTTTTTAAGATTAAACATTTGCTAACCTACCCCCATTCATCTCAGAAACTCCATTTGCTCAAAATGTAAGTCTACATCCATCCAGTCAAAATGTCTGGCTTACACTGGACCTCTCACCTTCACTGAACAGTAGGCAACAAAACTGTAGGCAAACAGCACACTATTTACTCACATTATAATTAAATTTGAATTCCTAAAGTATATTAGCCCTTCAGATATATTGTATCTTATGAATTTTGAGCCCATGATAAACAATTTTGGGTTAAAATTCTTAGAGTGTTATGCTAGAAAAATAAGGATCTGGGGCTGATGAAATGATTCAGTGGGTACAGGCACTTGCCACCAAGCCTGATAATCTGAGCTCATCCCCAGGACCCACATGGTGAAGGGAGATCACTAACTCCCACAAGCTGTCATCTGACTTTCACACATATGTGCATGTGCACAGACACAACAAACAAATACAAATGAAAAAATGTAATTTTAAAATTAAAAAATAAGAATCTTTATCTGAAAAAGTATTTTAGACTTGTTAGCTTCAGGGATTACACATATCTTACAAGCTAAGACGTTTTCTAGGATGCTAGATAACCTGGTAGAATTCGGGAGGAGTAAAACTCTACCAAGAAGGGCTTTGAGAGACCTGGTGACTTAATGTGGGAAATCACTCCTCAAGAGTTGGACATAGAGACAGAGCAAAGGAAAGTTCTATCTTCAGCTTGGGAGGCAAGAGGTGCCACTTGCACCACAGCAATGGCCTAAAGTTTCATGTGGTATTCCTGTCTTACAATCAATATTTTCATCTAATTTCAACCTTATAAGGATAATCTGGTCACCATTAAGGTATTTCTTTATATATGATGTGATTCTACAATGGAGTTCTTGTTGTTTACATCTAAGTTCTTGATGTTTATGTTCTTAGCATTTGTTAAATGTTATACAAGACACGAGTGACATTCACCTAAGTTATAACAAAGAACACTTGGAACAGGTATTGAGCAATGTCACTCAAGAGGACAGGCACTGTCCTTAGGTCATCTAGAAGGGTGAGCACAACCACTCAGGGACTCAGCGACTCTGTTCTCATTCTGTAGGAGGCTATACCGTAAAGTCCATTCCATAATAAACTGAAATGTTTATCGGCACAGAGTGAAGATTCTCTTTCCTCTTCTTTCTCAGCACTAGAAGCCATACAATCTCTAATGAATGTTTATACACAGAATTGGGACATAGTTTTGACATCATTTCAATAGTAAGTTCTCTCTTTCTAGAGCAAGATAAAATGAACCTCTCCTTGCTCCAAAGAGGATGAGCCTAAAGCTACCCCAGAGGGAGGAGGATTCAGTAATTCATTTTAATACTTTATCTCCCTCTGGTACTTTTAGTGCCTTAGGTTATACTTTCCACAGACAGAACAGAAAGGCTGGAGCAAATAAAGGCAGGGGCAGGTCAGGAAGGGCCCTGTGTACATGGACATGGGACATGGATCAATACCATGGATGGGAACTGCTATCTGAGGATTTCCTAATGAATGAAAACCATCTAGGCCTTTCCAGGAAGTGTCTAAAAGCTAAGCTGGTAGAGATAGCAGAAAATCAAGGAGTAACTGATATTTTATAGACCTATATAGAGAAATGAGTAGGAAAAATGTAGACTCAAAAAGTTATTCATAATTTGGCAGATTGTTGATTGCCTAGCTAAGCTACCACTTTCATAAGAAACTATAATATTTGATGTTCAGATCTAACATTAGAAAAAGTCCCACCCCTTTAATTCTTCTTACCTGTTTTGGTTGCTCTAATATTTGAAGGTATGGGCCATCTGCTAAAAACAAACACAACAAACAAAAACCAAAAGAAACTGTGAGACTTGTAGAATTTGGTATGAAATATAAAGCAATTAAAACCTGAAACTATATTTTTAAATGGAGATTTCAAATCAATCTTATAGGTGGAATTCTACAAGGATATAATGTTGTGTCCTCATATTAGATTTTCCTTTATTTTAATAGTAGCTTTAGAGTCTTAGTGAAACACAATGAATAAATGTTGTTTGGATAGGACTGGTGCACTACCTAACCCAAAGGAAACCCCAAGGTCTGGAAAGATTACAATGCCAGCAGCCTTCACCCGTTACAGTCTCATCTCTCAACAAGACATTAGAGCAACACTGGTTAGAGTTAAAGGCAGCAGACACTTCTGAGGACTGTGACAGTTTCAGTTGCCTTCCATCATCAGACAAACTTTCCTTCTTTAAAGAGAATGTGCTCAGCATGACATGAAGAGGTGGAGGAGCCCCTTGCCACCTGCTTCTCCTGACAGTTCCTGTTCTCTCCCCTCTCCTGAATCCAGGAGCGCTAGCTCCATTACCTGTGTGTTCCTCACCTTCCATGAGACCTGGTAAACTTTCCTTTCTTAGCCATAACTCTTGATGCTGATATAAAGTATCTGAATATTGTGCTCTCACAACCCTGTACTAAAACAGCCCAGTTACTTTTCAAAACCCTAAAAGTAATATAATTGAAAATAAATACATGCCAATTAATTACTATAAAAACATGGAAAAGACTTAAGGTTTAATCCATAAAGCAGTGGTATCTGTCTTGAAATTTCAACGAAAACTTGGAACTCCTGACAGCATAAACATGAACATGTTTAACATGAGAGCACCCCTATGTACCTCTGCTGGCTTTTATGTAAACAGTTTATAACCCATAGCTGTGCAACATGTAAAGACTTGGGGTAATTGTTAAGTAAAAATTAATATGTTTGCAACTAAAAACATTGTAGAAGAATGTGTCTGGAGTCACTTGAAAATTTATTCTCTCTCAGCTGAAGTTTAAGCCCTAAATTTGTGAAGAGATAAAACTTAAGGTCATAATTTAAAGAAAAGTAACTTAAAAGAGAATTTATCTTCTCAATATTATGATATATCAGGATAAACTAAAGAACTTTAGGAAACAAGGCATGATGACTTCCTGTTATTCAAGACACTTAAAGGAAGTCAGTTGGGAAATGACTACATTTGAAGCAAAACCTACACAAAAAAGGAAACTGGGGAGTCGCTGGTCAATGTAGTGTGCTATCTTCTGCCTGACAAAATTCATTCCTTGACATTTTAAACTACTTTTAGAGAAGTAATTGTTATTTTAAATCTATAAAGAAAATGGTTAGAATTTAATTTTTTCTAAGGAGATAAAAACTGATTAGAAATAAAACCATTTTCAACCTGTGAATATATAGATTGTATTAGAATATAACAAATATAAAAATATCTCCTCTAGAATTCCAGAAGAATCTACCAGGCAGAGAGCCCAGGAAGAAAGCAAGAGTGTAGAAAATGCCACTGAGAATCAGGGGCCTGGGGGGTGCTCACATTCATATGAGAATCAGGGACCCAGGGAACACTCATATTCAGCTTCAAGCCCCTTCCCTCTCACCAGCTCTTTTTAATACCTGGGAGATTTATTTTTAAGGACTTACTCTCCTTTAAATATGTGAGACTCAAAGTGAAATGGGGGTGATTTTTCTCTTTTGAAGAACACATTGAAAGTTAAATCAACTAGAAAATTAGATTTGATTCGCATTTATTTATTTTAAGGCCAACATTCTTTTGGCTACATTTCTAGGCTAGGAAAATGATATCCCACTGTGCAGAGAAATTTAAATCACAGCAAAATGTTATGGACATAACAGTTATGGCATGCTACAGAGTTTTCAACACAATGGTAATCTGAACACAGTGGTAATCCACTCTAGAGATTTTTAAAGACATCTAGAAGGTTGAAAAAATCCATATGAAAATTATGTTCAAATATTGGCTTTAGACAGCTTTCCTACTCCTTTACAATTTGAGTGAAATGTTATAAAAACTGGACTATGCCACCCCAACAGAGAGGGGGGATGCCAATAAAAGTGACGAGGTATACAACAGGAAAGGAGGACATTTCTAGTATAATTTTAAAGGTTTTTCTAATAGTACAAGAAAAAAACAAAATTTCTACGACATGATGATCTCAATGCTGAATATTTACTGAGATGATTCTTTTGAAAATGATATTTCTAAGCCTATAAACCCAAGGAAAGAGAAAACATGTCTTAAAAAACATCTGCCTCAGGATACTGTTTAGTATTCGTAAGGCATTCTATAGAAATGTGTGTTTCCCGAGGGCTTCAGAACCAAGTTCCTACATTCTCAATAAAACATTAATTAAAAAGGAAAACACTTTAAATCTCAGAATAAGAAAGTTCACAGGAGACACACGCCACTGGTGCATTTATTTGCTCACGGGAAGCTGACCTGCAGCTCATACAGGGTAGTACTTTGCAACCTCAGGTAAACGGTACCCTAGGAATACACTTTGTGGGTAAAAGCAGAAGGCCTCTGTGAGGTAACTGCAGCTGGTAAGGGTGAGGGTGTACTCTTCAAAGAAGGAAGTGTAGAAAACACTTCTGATTTAAACAATGGAAGGTAAGTGCTGGGGTAACCACATCGTTTTTAAGTGAGAATGATAAAGATTAGCCAAAGTCTCCCTGTGAGACAGGCAAATTCACAGTAAACAAAGCATCCGCTGTCCATGTCAGTGATTACCAAACTCCTAGTTTATATTCTCCATGACTCATGAAACGAAACGTTTCTTTTGAAGATGTGTCAAATCCTATTGTCGATGTGAGGGTTGAAACAAAATAGTAGAGTCATCACACCAAGAAAATCAATCACATCAAGTAAATCAATCAGAGTCTAAATGAGTTGAACTTATCATTGCATACATAAGATTAAATAATTTGTGGAGTCAGAGGATAATTAATGGAGTCATGTTAGAAGGAAGGATTACTATTTTAAGCTTCATCTGATTGGTCAGGATGCAAAAGTAAAAGCTGTTTACAAAGGTGATTTTTTAAAAAAATTATTTTATTATTTTTATTTTTCTATGTGCATAAGTGTGTTGACTGCATGTATGTAAGTGCACCTGTGTCATGCAACGCTTGCAGAGGTCAGAAGAGGGTGTCAGATCCCCTGGAATTGGAGTTACCAATGGTTGTTAGCTTCTATGTGGGTGCTGGGCATTGAACTTGTGTCCTCTTTGAGAGCAATCAGTGCTCTTAACTGCTAAGCCATCTCTCCAGACCCAACAAAGGTGAATTTTATTCACTGTTTATCCAGCGCCTAGCAGCCAGCTGGCACACAACAGATCTCTAGATAAATGTTTTGGGAACAGAACTGAGAGGCTGAGACTGCCTTGTGTGAGCCTGAAACAAAGCAAAGCAGAGTCCAAAAGAATGCAAGGGTAGCAAAATGGAGAGAAAAGGAAGTCCTTATGCTGAGAAAAAGGTGCTTCTGAGTGGTTCCAGCAATGGGTAAAGTCCAGACCTGGTGGAGGACACCTTTAATCCCAGCACTTGGGAGGCAGAGGCAGATGGATCTCTGTGAGTTCAAGGCCAGCCTGATCTACATAGTGAGCTCCAGGCCAGTGGGGGCTACAAGGAGACCCTGTCTCAAAAAACAAAAAATAAATTATATATATATATAAAATGTTCATAAAAGGAAGTGGTGATTTATATATATGTTTATATATAAATATGTATTTTATGAACACCATTGACTTTTAAGAGACTTAATTTTTTCTGTTCCAGTGTATTTATTATTTTCCTTTCATTTATATTTTATATCAAACTCAGTTTAAGTTTTTATAATAGGTTCTGATATCTAAGAATGATTACTAAAATTTTTTTTTTGCAAATTTCTTCCTCTTTATAGGTTTTATTTTTCTTTGTTTTTTAATTAGTGTATAAAATAACAGGTTAGCTTATGGCATTTTCAGTTTGAAATGATCTTCCTCTCTACTCTCTCCGTTCCCCAATCCCTCTGCCCTCCCCATGAATATTTTATCCGTGAAAGAAAAATAACAAGACAAAAAGGACTGTTCTTACCTGTTGACAGTGGCATTTCTGGTGGATATAATTCTGTATTAAATATTGGATGAGGCAAATTGCTCAAATGAAATAGCTGTAAAGAGGAAAATGTAAATACATAAACATTACTTTTCTAACATTTTATTAACACTTGAAGCCAGAACACCTAAAAATTAGTAAGAATGAAAATGAAAGAGAAAAAGCTGAATAGGATTCCTGAACTTAGGAATCCTTACCTTTTTGAGACCTGGTTAGGTTGCTGTGTATGGAACTTATGTACAAAGGGATCTGAGAACAACTGTGCTAAGAAGGTTCACAGGCAAGGACCTGCCACACACTGCTTGCTAGTGTATCTTCTGGGCATAGTGGACATTTCATAAATACTCACTGAATGAATGCTATGAATCTTGTACTCACTTAGGAATATGAGCATAATCCTAGAGGGCTGGGGAGACGGCTCAGTGGATAAAGTGCTTGCTGCACAGGCATGAAGCCCTGAGGTTGGATTCCTAGCACCCATATAAAAAGATGGAGAAAGGAGAAAGAATCCCTCAAGCTTCTAGCCTCCAGCCTAGCTGAACCAGCGAGCTCTAGGTTCAGTGAGAGACCCTTTCTCTAAAACTAAAGTGGAGTTCATTTGAGGAAGACATCCAACACACACACACACACACACACACACACACACACACACACGCGTGCGCACACACACACACATACACATACACACACACACACACAATCTTAGAAATCTGCATTTCTGGTTTGATGGTAAATATATTCTCTATCCAGTCACCAAATTTCAAGGCCTGAAAAGATTGTGGACAGTAGCTCTAGAACAACTTACAGGATAACTGAAAATAAAACTTAAGAGTTCAAATAGCACAAAACTAAGCTCAGAGCTCACCTCCTATCTCTGAATTTAGTGGAGGGTGGCACAGTGATCCAGGGCTTCAAAGAGGGCACATGTTAATCCTCAGAACCTATCCTTTACATGGCAAAAGAGATTTTGCATGTGTCATTAAAGTGAGACTATTAAAATGACAGGATTATCCTGTATTATCCAGGCAGGCTATTTAAGAGAGATTTAGAGGGACTGGAGAGATGGCTCAGTGGTTAAGAGCACTGACTGCTCTTTCAGAGGACCCGGGTTCGATTCCCAACACCCACATGGCAGCTATGAACCGTCCTTGGCTCCAGTTCCAGGGGAGTCTGACACCCTCTTCTGACCTCTGTGGCACTGCATGACATAGGTACAGTCACATACATGCAGACAATACACTCATACACATAAAATAAAATTATATATATAAAATGAGAAGGAGATTCAGAAATTCAGGTGTCACTGGAAGTAAGAGTCTGGAGTGATGGGAGGTGCACAAGCCAGGGAGTCTGGAGTGATGGGAGGCGCACAAGTCAGGGAATCTGGAGTGATGGGAGGCGCACAAGTCAAGGAGTTCAGGCAGCTCAGAATGGCTAGAAATGAAAGCTGCTTGGAGAGTAGCCCTGTCAACACCCTGATGTCGGAATTCTGATATCTAGCCTACTGGAGAAGACATCTGTGTTGTTCCAAGTCACGAAACTATGTGCTTCAGCAACAGCACAAAACTAACAAAATTGAAACAGTGGACATGCAACATGTTTTGATAGAATTAAGCTCTATCTTAATACGTTATTATTAATTATTCTGAAAGAAAACTTCCCATTTAGTTCATTTAGAAATTCCTATCTCTGGGCTCATTATTTGTCTAACCCTAAAGAAGTCAGCTGTTGAAATGTCTGTGGTCAGCTCAGAAACCAAATATATTGCATTTTCTCTGACAGGATTGTCAGTATGCTGGAAATGGGTATTTTTTTAAAAACAGTCAATATTACAACCTGTCCCCTTGTCCTTTTTAGTAAATAACTGGAGGTTCTTAGGTACTTAAGAACCCAATATTTTCAGTTAAATCAAGAATAAGTTAAGTGAAGTTTCCATTTTTTTAACTGCATGTAAATACATTTGCATGTATGCATGTGCACGCACATGTGGAGGTCAGAGGACAACTGAGGGAGTTGGTTCTCTCCTTTTACGTGTTGGACCTTGGAATCCAACTCAGGCTGTCAGGCTTGGCAGCAAGTGCTTAACCCTTGGAACCATCTTGCTGGCTCCTAAAACATGAGGCTAAAATGAAGATCCAGTTGTGAGGGATACAAATGTTCAATTCAGAAACAAAGCTTCACTACCATGTGTAAAAGTAAAGTTCAAAGGTATTACTCATTGTTTGCTGACAAAAAAATACAGAAATGAAAAATTATGTTGGCAAGAATGAGCCCCCCCCAATCGCATCTCGGCAGAAAGGATGACCTAGAAAACGTCTTCCTTGCTGCGCTGCTGCAGGTGGCTGCAATGATGGGACTGAGGGCAAAGCCCTGGGGAGACAGGCGGTGCTCTCTGCTCACTGTGTTTGCCCGGTGAGGGACGAAGAGCAAACGCTGGCACACACTAAAACACGGAGGACACCTCACTGAAGACGTATAAACTTTATGAAATGTAAACATCAAGTTCAAGACAGAAAAAATAAATAAATTCAAGGATTTCACCTTTCGAAAAAAAAAAAAATAGAAATACCAGAACATGCCCACCCCGGTGCTGATGAGCTCAAAATTACCCACAAAAGAAACTTTCAAAATGAGTGTCTTCAATAGATTTTACTCTTGTGTGGCACAAAAGACCATCTTTGGTCGAAAAGATTTCCTGTGTGCAGACAGGAAAGCATGGTTTGAAACCAAGCAGAAACAGCCCTCAGGGTGGTTAGAGTTGGCCTTTAATTGTTAGAAACAGCATATTAAAAGTGAAAGGTAAAACAAAGGGTTCTGCTTGTACAATTGCCAGATGTCTTTTATGCTGCAAACAAAAAAAATTCCTAGATTTATCCAGTATCACCATTTTTACAACAAAAATAGAAAAGAACATTGTAGCATGAGCAACACAGTCCTTCCAAACCAACCAGCTGTCCCCATCTGCAGTGGTCACTACACAGTCCTTCCAAACCAATCAGCTGTCCCCACCCGCAGTGGTCACTACACAGTCCTTCCAAACCAACCAGCTGTCCCCACCTGTAGTGGTCACTACACAGTCCTTCCAAACCAACCAGCTGTCCCCACCCGCAGTGGTCACTACACAGTCCTTCCAAACCAACCAGCTGTCCCCAGCTGCAGTGGTCACTACACAGTCCTTCCAAACCAATCAGCTGTCCCCATCTGCAGTGGTCACTACACAGTCCTTCCAAACCAACCAGCTGTCCCGACCTGCAGTGGTCACTACACAGTCCTTCCAAACCAACCAGCTGTCCCGACCTGCAGTGGTCGCTATTGCTCTCTACTACTGGATTTGCAGAAGCACCAGATCCCTTAAAAATACCACACTTCTTTGGTTTTATGTTTTCAGCTGATGCTGTGCATGCACAAATTTGGGAAATGTAGTTTCAGATGTCTACCATCAAATTTTAAATGTGAAACACTAACTATTGTGCCAGGGTATCTTGGCACACAGGATTCCCTGTCCTGGTCTAGCTTAGCAAATTGAATCTTTAAAGCTTAGCTTAGACTTCCTTTGGAAAGTGCTCCCTAACTGGCTCTTCCCTCAAGGTAGCATGCAGAGAACCCTCCCTCTCTACACTGTCCCTCTGTGCAGATCACTGTGGCAGCATTCACTGCCATAAGGAACCACGGTCCTGTCTCTCCAATTAGAACTGCAGCCCCCACAATTAGACTGCATGCCACTTGTCTCTGTATCCTGAGTATGCTGATGCTCTACACATAATAATGCCTCAATAAATAGCTAAGCCTTGAGAAGATCTCAGCATTTTAAATATTTTAAAAAATCAGCACATTCAAAATTTAACATGGCCAACTGTAATTACTCCAGAGTCTAAAAACTGCTTTCAAGCATTATGGTTCTACGCATCCATATACTCTACATGGAGAAGAGAAAGAAACACTGCATCAATAACCAGTATAGATTCTTTAGATTACCTGACATTTCTGTGGGTTTGGACTATTTCAAAGTAAAAATCTAGAAGAAAAAAGGACACTGATATCCCAATGCAAACCTAGCATCACAGCATCAGTATGATAATAAAACTGTTTATGCTCATTACCACAGATTGCAGGGGGTTGCTTATGGTGCCCCTGAAAAAAGGTATGAATTCCTAACCCTTCCTACCAGCACAGGTAGGAAGACTAAATTTCCTATCCTATTTGGAAATTTAGTCTTTGTCTTTATATAAGTTAAGATGACGTCACACTAGATGAAGTTGGGTACTAAATTCAACGATGGATGTCTTCAAAGAAGATAGACTAGTGGATGCAGACAGGGTGTAAGGGCATGCAACAACAGAGGTTGACATGTGTGATGCAGCTGCAAGTCAAGGGATGCTAACGATAACAACAACCATGGGAATTGTACCAGATTCAGGGACCAATCAGCACTTCCGCAAGGAACTGTCCTACTAATGCCTTTTTTTATTTTCTTTTTCGAGACAAGTTCTCTCTGCAGCCCCAGCTGGCTTTGAACTCACAATGTAGACCAGGTTGACCATGAACTCACAGAGAACCACCTGACTCTGCCTTTCGAGTGCTGGGACTAAAGAAGTGTGCCACCATGTTCGACTTGATTTTGAATTCTAGTCACAAAGACTATGGAAGAATATATTTCTATTGCTCTAATTTTAACAGGAGCCCTAGGAACTCACACAGTGGCCATATTCTGACCTATAGGATATAGAATTTTATGCAAAAATACACCTGAAGGGGTTTAAGTGGATCATTTTATATGATGTTCTCTCCAATCCTGCAGGGACAGAGAAACTGGGAAAAAAAATAAAACTTACAGTTCCCCTAATATCGAGCTGCTTGTGCTGCCTGTGTGTTATACAATATGAATACATCTAAACAAGCTCATTGATGAAATTATAGAACACTTACTTGTCCAGTCCCTCCATATGGATCGTCTTCTGCCATGCTGGAGCTATACACTGGAACAAAACAAAGCAAAACTGTAATGCTGGAGTGAACCTTAAGAATTCTACCACCTAGGGGTTTGTTATGATATATAAAGGATGAGACAAAAATAATATATATATAATCTTAAAATTTCTATGGTCATAGTTTAGTCAACTAGTTAAAGGAACCATATAATTAAAAGTACCAGACTGGTGGCCCTAACCTTCTTGGATGTTTAACAGCCATAGTTTGAGGCCTATACTCATGTGGTCAGAGGGACTTAAAGGACAGTTTTCGCCCCTTGCCCTCCAAGGTCAGCTAAGTTCCAGGGGACTATGGAACATCTCTCAAAATGTTCTGTAACTGTGGTGAGTCACCTGTCCTCTTGTTCAGGGAAGACATGGAGAACCCACGAGATGGACTTGAGTCAGTGTCCAGTCTACAAAGAGGAGGGTCAACTCAGAGGAAACATCTCATTCATGCTTCCAAGTGAAGCCAGACATGCTCGAGCAGGACCTTTGACTTATCTTCACATAGATGGAACTGGTAAAAGAAAGGATCCAGGGGCTCCTCCCAAGCCCATGCGACCCCTGAGGAACAAATCCTCAAACAGCCTTAAGAGTAAAAATAAATTGGTTTATCTGGGCCAACTGTATGGTCTTAAATACCCAAAAGGAAAGTATATAGACAACTATTTCTCATTGATGATTTTGTTCCTAATCAGAAAGTGCTGCTCGGATGTAAGATTTCAAATCTTGGTCTCCAATACTGAGGGCCCACCTGTAGCTAAGGGAGACAGCCAGCCATTGTTCTAAAATGATGGATAAATGTTTTCTCCCCCTATCTAGAAGCCTTTGAGAGGGAACTGACACTGATTCTAACCACTCCAACAGCTATCAAAATACCTGAAAGCAAATCCTGAATTCATCACTCTAGAGTCCAGCCTTGGAAGACAAAAGAAAAATGAGGAGGAAACCAATAGAGGGATGCTTTTGGAAGCCCTTTTCAAGAAAGTCCAATGGACTTTCACATGAACATTTGAAAATTGCCCTGTTCTGACTTTTTTCTAGTTCCCTGTTTAGGACTTGTAATGCTAATTATTCTTGCCTTTACTTCTTCACATCTCCTATTCATGCACCATTCAAGGACTTTCTTTTCCCCCTAGAGATAAGAGTTATGCAATTTGGGAGTCTTTTAGATAGACCCACTGAAGGGCTACTCCAATTGCCTCACCCTGCATCCCTGTTCAGCATGGAAGAAGCCGGAGCGGTCTGCATCCCGATTCCCTATTGGCAATTTGGGCAACCTCTTCAGAGGATGGTGTGATAGGAATAGGAGGTAGGAATTGGCTAGGCAGTTAGGGTAAAAAGACCCCAAAGAAAAGCAGCCAGTTTCTTGGCTAAAACTTGCAATGTCCTTGGGCCTCTTAGCAACATACTTGGTTCCAAAGGCCAAAACTGTCTAAAGTATTTGGGAGCTTTTATCTAATCCTTAAAAAGTTTTAGGGTTACCTCTTCAGATGGGGGAATGTTAGTATAGCCAAAAGCCCCATTAAAAAATAAATAAAAGAAGAAGAAAGAGTACATGAAGTTATCAGAAAAAAAGTGATGGGGAGATATGGGAGGAGTTGAAGGGGAGGGAGTGGGCATGGATTTGATCAAAACACCTTATATGCATGTATGAAATTCTCAATAAACTATTTATTTAAAAAAAATTCTACCACCTTGGAATTCATGCAAGGATATGTTGTTATTACCACAGTAAGAACAAATATAAACCTCTTTAAAAGACCTTAGAAAGAGTGCATGCAGTTCCTCTTTGGCATCTAAGTCTCACAATACAGAGATTGCATAATCAAGGAATTACCACTTACGTACGATCCAAAACCCTCCTGCTAAGCTCACTGTGTCCCCAGCTTGGTACAGCTGGTCTTATCCTCTGTGTAAAAAGTATGCACAGATGGATTCTTGAGGCCATTTCTATTTATCACCCTCTAAAAATCAAGGATTTACAGTCTTACCCCTCATGTGCACTATTTCCCAGCCCTCATAAACTCTAAGATGGTCTCAGAACTTTCTCCAAATGTTCTGTGAGCTGCTCTGGTTGAAAAGTTCTGGAGGCCCTGACACTCCTGCAGAGGGCAGTGGGGATGGCCATAGGACACATCTTCTGCCCTCTTTAAGGTTACTAAGCAAGCCATTCTCCTGCCTTTGTCAAAGTGGAATAGAAACTCTATAACCCTTAAAAATGCAATGAAATGTACAAAATGAGAGCCAGTATTAGCAAGGCTATAGGTCTCAAATGTATTGACTTCTAGCCAGGAATTAATAAATGCAAACCCTAGTAACTTTCTACTATCCCTGATAAATGTGAAGAACTACACTGTATGTAAATTCACATTTCATGCAGGATTTACTTGCCAAGGAAATATCTTTTTTACAATTTTAAATGTAGATTAATTTTTTAAAATGTATTTAGATCAAATTTAAAGTATTCACTATAAAAATGAGGTTTTAAAATATTTTATTTATTTATTTATTTATTTATTTATTTTTCTGTGTATTGTCTGCATGTATGTAAGTGCCACAGAGTCAGAAGAGGGTGTTGGATCCCCTGGAACTGGAGTTGCAGACAGTTGTTAGCCATCATGTGGGTGCTGGGAATCGAACTCCAGTCTACTGTAAGAGCAGCCAGTCCTCTTAACCATTGCGCCATCTCTTCAGCTGTTTTTGTTTGTTTGTTTGTTTTGGTTTGGTTTTTTGTTTTGTTTCTTTAAGACAAAGCTGTAAGACAATGTATCAGTATTTTCTATGATGACTGTGGCACATGGAAAGGCACCTGGGGCTGTAGCGGAGGACATGGCTGTCCACCAGAGTCCTCTCTCCTGTTCCACAACAGTGCTGGCTCCAGAAATGTGGCTGCTAGGCTGGGATTGTGCCAGTCTTCCTCAGAGTCAGAAAAGGCTCTGACCCAGTGCTCACCAGGGAAGAGAGAGCTGCTGTGCGCTGCTCTGAGCTCTAGACTCAAGGTCCTTGACAGCCTTCTTCCAGCTTTTGTTTAACACTTAACCACTAGATAAAACCCCAATGTGGAGAAGACCAGGCTTTCAGCACATAGGTGATGAAGAAGAGTCCAGGGGCTGGCAGGGAAATAAGACAGACAGAATCTGGGTCTGTGACAACATGAAACAGTTGCTTTGACCATCCTACAGCCCATACTCCTGCTGATTTAAGAAAAAAGGAAGCTCTTTGTTCTTTAGCCCAGTGCACCGTCAAGTCCCTTTGTTAAGAGTCTAGCCCTCACTCCAAGGAAAACATCATATAACACTCCTGTAAGCATAAGGGCTTCATTTCTAGACACTCTCTCTTGCTGGAGCACCAAGTGACTACTGCAATGCAAGCACACCTCCCGAGGATGCCCAGTGTGACAAAGAACAGTGCTCAGGTGCAACGAAAGGGAAAAGAGCAGTTGCAAGTCCCACAGGACATGAAGTCCATGCAGGTTTGCTGGGAAATGTTTCCTTAAAACAACACACTCATGAATGAAAATATCCAAACAGGGGCTGGAGAGACGGATGGCTCAGTGGTTAGAGTGCTCACTGCTCTTGCAGAGGACCAGGGCTCACTTCCCAGAACCCACTGGGCAGCTCAAAGCCACTTGTTCTCCAGTTCCAGGGAATCTGACTCCCTCTCCTGGCTTCTGCAGGCACCTGCATGCATTTGATACATATAAACTCTTGCAGCACATAAACACACACATAAATAAAATAATCTTTAAAAAAGAAAACATTCCAATAGGTAAAACTAAATATTTATTATGACAAGTCAAAAGGACAGAAAATTAACTTAATGTGGTAAAAAGGGATTAAGTCGTTCAAATTTCCAGGGTTCTATCACAACTGGGTATGCAACATTAGATACTAATGAAACTCATGGTGGCCTCTGTTTTTGCAACTGAAAAATGACAGGTTTGGATGAGGTGGACTTTTGAAAAGGGAAAAACTTTGTTGAGCTTAGAATGCACACTACCTAATATGTGCCTATTTGAAAGTTAAAATGTTCTTGGGTTTTTACAGACACACACACACACACACATCTATACTTTGCCACTTATATGTAGGTATTTATAAGTGCATATCTGTATTAAATACCCAATACACTTCCAATTACAGGAATACTAGCAAGAAAAAAAAGTCACACTGAATGGAATACAGGGCAAATACCATTTATAACAACCTTTGTGAAAATCTTTAGTTCGTTACAGGGACCCAAACTTTCATGAAAAAATTTTACATCACCCTTTGACTTCAGTTTCCATTAATCTACGTGATCTAATTCTTTCCCAACAATCCTAACACAGTCTTCCAAAGCAAAGATGACACTATTGCCTTATTAAACTGACAAACCCATTATGTACCCGTGTATGACACTGATTATGTGTATATTAAAATCAGATGGTTTTGCAGATCTTTAGCATGTAGACTTAAAATAAACATGTTCTCACTCTAACTTGAAAAGCCCTATTATACCTACTTGATTTGAACAGTTAAAAGGTTATCATCCTGTCATCGTGATCCCTACTCTAGACAAAGTCCTAACAAAGACGGTTCCACTCTAGACAATGGACAAACCACCAAATTGAACAGTCTATCTTCCATAACACCCCTCTCCTAAGATTGCTATACTCATATACCTAAAAACACATTTATAAAACCCTACAGAAGCCCAAGGGACACTTACATGGCTGCTAAAACCTGAACTCATACAGCCTTGGTAATTACTGAAGAGTTGAGAAGTAAGAGCAACCCTAGGTGATGTCATAATTTTAAAATAAAATGTCAAAGAAACCAGGAGTCGTTTGGAAAGGATGAATCACTGAGTAGTATTTGCATTCACTGAAAAAGCAGCCTTTATTTCTAAAATGTTGAAATACTAACAAAGCCCTTGGAACTAAGGATTAGAAAAGAACCAGGGAAACCCCTTCTGTGCCCCTGTTCCCCATGTCCTTCCCCTCACTTTCTTTTGCTCACTTC